ACACACACAGACACCACACACACACACACACACACACACACCCCCACACACACACACACACACACACACACACACACACACACACACACACACACAGTAGATAACTTTATGGCCTGATCTTTCCCTGGGCTATTAGTGAGAGCAAGCAGCTACTGGAACTTCTTTCTCTTTCTGTCTCTGTCTGTCTCTCTCCTTCCTTCCTTCCTTCTTTTTTTCTGTACTGGAGATTGAACCCCAGACCTTTCATACCTAGCTACATACCCAGCTCCTTTTTTGTTTTTATTTTGAGACAAGGTCTTGTCAAGTTGCTAAGTTGCCCAGGCTGTGTTCAAACTTCTGATCCTCCAGCCTAAGCCTTCCAGAGTGCTAGGATTACAGGCATGCATCACCCTGAAATTCTTATGTTAGAAGCCTTTGTAGGACAAAGGAAGAAGAAAAGTCAGAGAACTAATTAGCAGTGTGTGAGGGGGAGTAGGACATAGGGGAGAAATTCTCTCTTAAGAACAGTCAGTTACAGGCAGCCGTTGAGCAGCTTAAAATGACTGGTGTGATCACACAGGTCTGAAACTCCAAGACAAGAAGCACAGGGCTCAGAAGGAATTCTATGTATGTCTTAACTAGAGTGAAACAGAATTAAGTTGGTGACTCATGACAGCTGAAGCAGGACTGGACCCAGGGATACACCATCAACAATGAAATGGAAAGGAAATGTTTCCAAATACAGATATTTTTCTAATGCCCTCATTCTTCTACATAAGTACATCACTATGATGCAAAGGATCAGAAATTATGAGAGAAGAATGGGGGAGCCCCAGAGTTCTCTCCCCTGTCCCAGGAGAACCACTCTGCAAAGCTCAATTCCCAGAGAACCAACCAACCTAGAGTAGAACCTCTTCCTTCCCCAGGATCCAGCTTATGGACCTATCCTTCCTGTTGCCAGGGGGAAAGTTAAACATAGAAATAGGAAAAAATCCATAGAGATTTTGGATTCTAGAAGTACTTACCCTTCTGGGAGCCACTGAGGCAGAGAGGGGTTGCCATCATCTGGAATCTTTAAAAAGAGACAGAAAAACGTTAGCTGTTGGGAAAGATGGAATACTGCCCACAGGCTGTGCAGTGAGCAATGTCGGTCACATGTACCATGAAGTGATACAGCCAGCCTGATGCCTATGCTAACACCCTATCATCCAAGGCAACAAGGGTACTGCTGAAATGAGCAATATTTGTCTCCATTTTCACCCAGTGAAAGGATATAAGGTCAAGCTCATTGATGTCCTAAGGCTAAGCACCTACTGAAAGTGTGACAGTTGCCAGAACTCCTATGTCCCTTTTACAAGGCACTGGTATAGAAAGCAGTAAGGCAAGCCCAGAAGAAGAGCTTTTTATAGGTTTCAGGCTTCACTAAAGCAAAAGGGCAACTTCATACAGAGTCAAGTCTTCTAGCTATATTGCTAAGCTCCTTTAGCTGCCTCAAAAGCAGACCTGTTCTGAGTTACATCTCAGCCTGTGTTTTGACACAGCCTAACTGAAACTTTAGCTCACACAAGTCCATTCTCTACTTTTGATAAGCTTGATATAATGAAATCCCAGGGCAGATCAGACATTTGTTTTATCATTCTGGCGAATTTTATAGGCTCTAGCATTCAAAGTTGAAAACTGAGGTATCAAATAAGTCAAAGAATGAACAGATAAAAACAATTTTTAAGGTTTCTGCACAAAACAAAATGAAAGCAAAACAGAACAAGCAATGGCTTCAGCAGTGCAAAGAGAGAGTTTCAAAGCTGCCAGGACTGTATAGGGAATCAACGGTACATGCTTTTTAGGCACAAGAAACCTAGGGCTAGCAGATCTGGGGCATACCATCTCTGCTGTTTCCTTCCATCCTCAACAACTTTCCTGGAACAAATGAGCTCCAGAAAGGAGGTAGGAGTAAGGTTCTCAGCTTTGGAAAGGTTGGGGAGGAGCAATGTTGGGGGATAGCTAAAGGTTGGAGAATGAGGCAAGACAGAAAAGAATGGAGGGAGACAGGACAGGGCTGATAGGTGATAGAAAGGTGAGCAAGTATGACCGTGGATCAGCAGTAAGCTCATATGAACTTTGGATTTCAGCTCCTTCTTGGTAAGATACTTTCAGGTTGTCTATGCTTTAAATCACACCTGTCAACCTACTGCCCATACTTTTACTCTACCTTTGTCTCCTATCCTGGTGATGGGAGGCCAGGCCCAAAAGCCAGGTAGGAGTGTTTGAAACAAAAGACAATGGGTATAAAAGAAGAAACAACAGTAGGTCATAAACTGCAAGACTCCTAAGGTTGCTCAGAGGCAAGGACAGGAGGTAGGCATCAGGGAAGTCCTTCTCTGTATCTCCAGTTTCTACCAGCCAGAATTTATCTTCCCTTTGGAAACAGCTACTGCACTGAGCAGGCTCTTACTTCCTTTTTAATTCTCAGAATTATGTATTTGCCAGAAACTACTGCATTTACAAAAACAAAATCACAAAAAGTCTTTGAGAACCAGGCTCCCAAAGCATGAGGGATCAAGCTCAGAGGGGACAACAGTCTGCAGAAGCACAAAGCATATACACACAGCACACTAAACGGAAGTGGGAGGAAGCCTAAACAAAGCATTTATAGTTATATTCACTGACACGACTTGTACCTTAAGGAAACACAAGGTGAGCATAAATTCTGTGTGTACACAAACTCACTTGTGAAGGATTCACAGTGCTCACTAGGGCCCAAATCACAGGTGAAGCAAACTTTCAGTAAATTCAAGAGTCAGTGCTTACAGGCACAAAGTAGTAGGATACCATGCATTCACAGGTTTGTGAGGATCACACAACAAATCTACTGAAGTTCTTGCCCACAGAGAGTCCAGGAAGGCTGCCCAGAACCACAAAGTACTTTCACACTTAGGTCCCCAAGTAAGAGGCACAAAATGCCTGTAGCAACTCCTGCTCTCTCTCAAATGTAAGTATGCACGCATGCTGGGCTCAGCCAGGGTTTATAGCATAAGCCAGAGTTTGCAGCAACATGTTAAAATGGACACAGATTGTTTCAACTAGGAGAAGAGGAGGGCAATCCGTGTCTGTGGGGGTCAGATTAAGCATACACATGCTACATCAATTGCGCACCCATGTGGCACGCATATGTTCTCACACAGTGCTCTAGGGATGCTGGCAGAAGCACACACAGCATGGAACATGCACACAAAATCTCTTTCTGGAAAAACAGACTATCTGCATGAGCCACAGCTCAGAAGTACAGATCATGCACGCATACACACACACAGTGCTCAGAGGACAGTGTAGAGAATAGAAAATGGAAAGGGCCCAAAGGGCCAGAGGCACAACCTGGAGGGCTTCTTGTTTTCCTTCTGTAAGGAGAGAAAGAGCAGGAAGAAAAAAGGGGCAAAAAGGTTAGTAGATTCAGTTCTACAGCAATGAACACAAAGCAAATGCCAGCTAACCCCAAGGGATAAGGAGGGAGGGGAGAGACTGAGAGAGAGAGAGCCACTGGATACCCCCGCAGGACACAGAGCCTAGAATCTTTACTACCCATGTTTGATGGCCTCCAATTTTTAATATGAACAGAAACTACTGGACAAGTCTGCCTGGGGATTCCACTTGTGGGTTCCCCCTTTCCAAAATGGACTCTACCCAGGGTAGGGGTTACTAGGGCTACAAGACCAAGTCTGATATCAAGGACCACTACTATCCAAACTGTTGAGCACAGAGTGAGTTCTTTCCACAGCAGCCACATGAACTTACTCTATATCTGGGATAAGTCCTCAAACCCCAAAGGTCCTTTCCATTTTGCAATGAAGGCTTGGCTATGCATTTGTTCAGTGAGCCCTCACCTTTGTTCCCAAACCCTAAATTAAGTTAGGCCAAGGCAGGGCCTGGAGTTAAGGCCAGGACCAGGATACTGAACAAGTAGAGACCCTGGAGTGTCAACTGGCTGCTGTCCTAACAGAAGTCACAGTTATGTGAACGGTAAAATCATGGCTGTAACCCCATGCCTGATTATCCAACCCAGAGCCATAGTTTCAAAAGAAATAGACACTTTCAGAAGGACCCAAGCAAGCCTCAACAGGAGATGAATAAAATCCAGAGATTACTCTTTTTCTATTCAGGAGACTACACTGTCCTCTATATCATGTATCGCTAGGCTACGGGCTTCTTGCTCTGGGGAGAGTAGAAATATTAAGATTATAAGATTCTTTTCTAGTTTTGTCATTCCTACTCAAATGAGGCAAAAACTATAATAGGTGTCACAACTGTGAGAAAGCTTTCAAGTAAAGCTTGAAAATGGAGATAACCAAAGCAACTCTGAAATTTGAACAGGTTTAGATTCTAGCCTGGGCAAAGGTGCAACAAAAGAGTCTACAATGTTTGGAGTCCTCTTCTTACATCTGTTTTCAAATTGCTCTTGAGAGTTTCCTTATAATGGTGTATATAGGCCCCTTATAAGCAATGTGCAGAGGGTACTTATGCTAGATGAATAGAGTTTTGTTTTTTTTTTTTCCCAGAGGTGCCCACTTTGCTCTGTCCCCAGCATGCCTTGCCCAGATGTTAACCAGCTGGAGTCCCCTGGTGGCCCTGGTTGATGGCCTGTCCTTCTTGCCCCACTACCCAGACCTGGGGGAGATTTCTGGAATAATGATGAAGTGCTCTTATCTTATTTCTGTCCTATGCATCAGATTCAGTAACAACTTAGAATAGGGATGATGATATATACTATATTTGGAAACCAGCAGTATGGGACAAGACTCCAAAAGCACAGGAAACAAAAGCAAACAGACTAGAACAGTCCCAGTTTAAGTGTGCTAACTCCTCATTCTGCCTGCACATTTATCATTAACTTCTCGGTGGCTGCTCTAGACACAGGAAACAAAGAGATGAATGAAACAAAATCTAACAGCTCACTGGTCAAGAGTATGGTTCACCCAGCCCACCCTAGATGAAATTTTCTCCAACAAAAGTCTTTAGAATCTGTCCAAATTAATATGAGTGGCCCCTGACAGGAATGATGGCAGCAAACAAAATAGTGATAGATGGTAAAAAGTGCTCTTCGTGACTCGCGCTGACCTGGGATGGGGAAGATGAACCATACAGTTTCCATTGCTTTACTTCCATCTCCTTTGCTTATTTTTTAAATTTAAATTTTATTTTATATTTTTGATGGTAACAGGGATTGAACCCAGGGAATGCTGAGCTATATCCCCAACCATTTTTATAGTTTTGAGACAGTCACCCTAAATTGCCCAGGCTAGTCTAGAACTTTACAGATGTGCATAACCATGCCTGGCTCCTACTTCCTCTTGTCACCTAGTGCTCTAAGGTTTGTTTTTTTTTGTTTTTTTGTTTTTTTGTTTCTTGAGACAGGGTCTCACTATGTAGTTGAGACTAACCTGGAACTCACTATGTAGCCCAGGCTGGTCTCGAACTCACAGCGATCCTCCTGCCTCGGCCTCCTGAGTGCTGGGATTACAGGCGTGAGCCACCACACCCAGCTGGTGCTCTAAGTTTTACCTGTAACCATCTGAAATTTTCCTTGGCAACTTATTCTGTTGAAGTTACATCTTATAGCAGTGTACCAGATAGGGACTAGTTGAAATCAAGAATTTGAATATGCTCTTACAATCTTCATCTTTCCTAATGTTTTCTTTGTGAATGGAAGCCTCTGGCACTGTGTGAAACCCTCTAAGACCAATAAGAATTGAACACCAGTCTATCTATAGGGTCCATCAGCTCCCCTCCACCTTCCCCCCACCCTTCCCTCTCTCTCTCTCTCCTTCATTCACTTGATTAGAGGAAGGGTTGAGACAAGGTCTTGTTTTGCAGTGTAAATTGGCCTTGAATTCAAGATTCTCCTGCTTCAGGCTGAGTACAATACTAAGATTACATCAGATGTGTGCCACCACTCCCAGATTCCCACTCTCTTTTAACGAGCCACTGATTTAATATCAAAGTAGAAGGGAGAAAGCAAGAAACTAACTCATGAGTTCCAAATATTTTCAAGCTATTTCTGTTGCCTCAGGGTGTCACATG